CAAATGGAAATTGAAATATTCTTTGACAGGACTATAAAACCCTCTGCTGGCAAAAAGCCATCTGAACCAAGTTGATAAGATCATCAGCATAATTTCTTCATGCGGAAATTCTGGATCCTTGTTTATTAAAATACTGACAGATCAGGGATGTTTGCTTCTTATAAGCTTATATAAAGAAGAATAATTTCAGCCTTGTCTGTTCATCATCACCTAGGATAAGAATTATATTTCTGCCATCTCTAAAGGATGTCATTGGTTTTGTGAAAAGCTTTTATGTAGCTCAAGTCATTGATGGCGTCGTCCTATACGCAAAATACAATATATTAAGCATTTTGTCTTTGGCAGCACGACAGGACTAGCGAAAGTTTCCCACATCCACTGCCATTTCCGTTCTGGCTGGTTCCCATCCAGACATTGCAAAAGAGGTATATTTTATCTGCTCTTAAGCTACATTCTGGCCATTACTAAATGGATTTTCAGGACAGTGGGTTTTTTTTTCTTCATTTCATTTTGCATTCCTTGTGTCTGATATTTACAGAAAGCTGCTCTGAAATACAGTAACCTGACTTACATGTAATAATATTATTAACTAGTGTACCATCTCACAATGTGACCTAGTTCCTTTAAATGATTAGGGCACAGGTACAAGGTGCCGCAGCTCATGATCAGTAATGACTTACCGGTTCGCCACTGGGTCCTGGATCACCAGGATCTCCTGTTGGCCCAGGTTGACCCTGGTGACAGCAAAATGTAAAGTGAGATTAATTTACTCAAAGTAATAAAGGTCCATTTTGACCAAAATCCTTTTTCACTTCAGTGAACAGGCAGGGTTCATTATTGCTTCAAGTTACTCAGGGTTCAACCATCTAACTGTAAAGGTCACTTCACGATCATGTCAATGTAGCAGCTGGTTTAATTTTGAATTAACCTGGAGTTGTAAGGGGCAGGCATTCTTGCTACTAAACAGCATTCAAGCTACAGTAATCAGTCTTTGTGACTTTCCGACACCTTATTTTTTAAGCTTA